TCCTCCGACCGCAGAAGGGAATGCTGCAACTAATCAAGTGATCTCGAACCAGGTTGCCATCCTAATCGGGACTATGGAGTTGTCATCAATCAAATTCTCACAGTCAAACAATTGTTACAGAGAGATAAATCAGGGAAGCTTTGGTGTTCCCCGGTAATCGGTGATCGATCGAAAGTGATGAATTTAGTTTCAGGTCACGTAACTGCACGATAGATGACCGGATCAGTTCAGGTAGATGAGAAAAGCACCAGTTACCAACTCGTCTGTTCAGCTGCCCACGTATAATGCTGCGTTATGTATTTCGAATTTAACGGGATTTAGGTCTTGTCAAAAAAATCATAGTGAACACAACTTCACAACAAAGCACTCACTACAAGATTTTTAAGCGTGATAATACCCAGTAGCTCATATCAAATCACGAGAAATTCTGAGCCTTTCCTCAGCCAAAACCTTGCCTGCGAGGTTGCGGAGCACTGCGTGAAGACCAGTATCTGATCAGTCAAACTTGGGGATATTAAGACAAATATCATGTGTTCAAGTTGCCACCTACACCCTATCACGACAGTGATCATCAGGATCATCAGGAGTTTTCTGAGAGGTTTCAACCAAACTTTTTCAGTTCCCCTATATGGGCAAGCTACCCGCGACTCAACAGACATGCTATGGTCTTAGGTACGGGGGCTCTTCTATCTCCATAACACTTACAGAAGAGGTTATCGTAAGGTTGAATCCCAATGATGCATTATTGAGCATCGCATGAAAAGCAGTAGACTAAATTCGTCCATAATACAGAGTCATTGTCCACGGTTGTTTGTTGTGACTGAACTGAGTAAAGATCAGCAGTCTCGATGGGATTTGAAGACACTCATGGACACCGTATACGCCTCGTTATAACATGTCCTCTATCAGCTGAGTTAAAATTCCAGACAGATCGATCATCCAATAATTTACATTTGGTCACCTACCCCAGAGCATTATACAAATCAGAATGGATTGTTAGTACTAGTCCGAACGATTTCAAGGTTACCTAACACAAAAGGGGAGCAACAGTGGTGGATTATGAAGCTACTACGTAAAATCTTAGTTTACCATTTAAAAAGAAAAGCTGAGAAAACGAGGTGAGATACCTGTGGGCACGTAACCAATCCCTGCCGCATAGCTTGGTTCCGAGCGAGATGATGAACGAATATGACCGTATTCAATTGTTTTTCACTTTCACTCGCATCAGCGTTCAGCATTTTCGCCAGTTTTGGTGCGCTCAACGCGGCTGATTTAGCGTCCAACTGAAAAGATAACGATGATAATAATGGTATTTGTTTCTGTTTCTTTGTTGACCAACCATCGCCACAATCCATAGTTGGGAACGGGGTCACACTCAATGGAGGACTGCGAATCGGTAAATACGAAGGTGGCAGGGTTCCAACAAGCGAACAACAACAACACACTGGGTTATTATCGTTTAACCACCGAGAACCTCAAAAAAGCATGATGATCGCGGATCGTCACGAAGGTAACTAATTGAACCTTAAAAGAACTTTATACAAGTTCAAACTGATTTCGTATTGTGTTCACTGCTGCACAGTTCACTGAAAGCACTACTACCTGTCAACACAGGATAAGAGTGACTTTAATGTAATGTACTAAATTACTCGCGACGATTTTTCCATTGAAGATCAAAACTTCTGTCCGTTGGTCCCCTTCTATTTTTACACTTGCGCCGCGCGTAAAGTCGGTTTTCTATTCTGCGCAAAGCGTTCCTTTACACCCAAGCATCTTCTCCTTTCATACAAAGCTCAAATCCACCCGATGCTCGATTACTGCAGTCACGTATGGGGTGGAGCTTCGCATTCCGTTCTTTCTCTCCTCAACCGTGTTCAACGTAAGGCCATCTGGCATCGATGAACCGCCTTTAACTTCAAACCTGCAGTAGCTTTCCCACCGCTGGACAGTGGCTTCTTTTCTGTCTTTACTATTATGGTTTCTGTTCTTCCAAATCCGCTTCAGCAGTTTAGCTCCCACTGACCTTTTCTCGTCCATCTCTACCTTTCCCAGGACTGCGAAAATGTGGAATACTCTTCCCATTTCCGTGTTTCCAAGCTCTTACAGCCTTACACTTTTCAAAAAAAGGATTAACAAATTGATTCTTACTTGAATGTTCCCCCACATACCTTCCTCTTCTAGTATATCATCATCATCATCATCATCGTCGTCGAAATACAGTGAGGCAAACTTCACTGATCGCTGTATTTCATTGATTACGGGGTTTGCCCCTTTTTGCCGTAAATCGCTTTGTATGTAATAAAATAGAAATGAATGCAAATAGGACGAAGTATTCACGTAACTTCCTTTTTAGAATTTGAAGGCATCTGTTTTGTGCCCTTGATAAGTAACGGGATAACGAATCTTGGTTGTGGTTTTACCACCGGATAAAACTGATCATCCTTCAAACTTTACTCTCTGGCACAATCTTCACTTCATCCGGTCAACCGTACGCTTGGGAAGCACTATACTCGAGTTTCGTTTTACTTGGTGCACACCCAATAGGCTTTAGAATCTGAACCCATCGCAGGAAGGCTTGTGCGCCACCACTGTGCTAACCAGTACACACCATTACTCAAAAGTAAATAAGAATCAAAAAAGAATCGTGGCATTCCCTGAGTAATTACGACGAGACTGCACCTTGGCTTGGTGTGATGGCTTGCGTGCCTCTGTGACCCTGCGAGCAACACAGGACGGCTTTATCAAGCGAGGAAATTTTATCATGCCTGGAAGGTCAATGGGTAGAGGTCAGACGAAGTTCAGTCTCCTGGTCCTCCAGGTTGGGGGTTCGCCTGGAATTGGCGTTTCATTGGGTAAAAAGTGGTGGAGGAGTAATCGATCCAAGTAAATAGGCCTCCAATCCGCCTTAACCGCTGCCTTGCGTTCGGGTTCTTGTCAGAACTAAAGGCTTTGGTTGAGAACGCTAATCGTTCTCCTGCTTAGTGGCTGGACACCCTGGCAGTATCCGTCCACCAAATCCCAATGCATACACAAAATAAAAAATAACTCCATACTGCATCCGTCGTCGAGGTTAGGTTCTTGTTATAACTAAAGGCTTTGGTTGAGAACCCTAATCGTTCTCCTGCTTAGTGGCCGGACACCCTAGCAGTATCCGTTCATCAAACCCCAATGCATACACAAAATAAAAATGATTCCATACTACATCGGTCGTTCCGCAGGATAATCAGGATGGGTGGTGATAAGTGGGCTACTGCTCAGATATCCCAACCTTTGTTTAACTTTTTCCTCCGCACCCAACCCTATCCGTTTACCCCTTCTTCCAACCTGTAATAGTCCCACAAGCAACTTAGATGTCGCTGGCCAAAGGTCGTTGCCAAATAGCACTGTAATTAATTTATCAAGAAATGGATTGCAGATTCTAAAGCCTCGTCAATCACTTAATCTGTGGGCCTTCGTGGGCCTTCAACATGAGGACTTTGATGCAGCTAGGTCAACAAGCGTTTCTGGCTCGTACAATGGAATCC